CTCTTGATGGAAACATCCAGTGGTGGAGGAAGTACTGAATCTCAGTACTTAAGTAAAAGTACAAATAACCAGATAAATATTTACTTTAGTAAAAGTAGAACACAATGACAACCATAAGTAAAAAGTACTTGATTTTAAATGTACTTTAAGTATTAAAAGTAAAAGTACTTGCATAACAATTTATTCTCTTAATGACTATTTTGTAATGATTAATAAAAAATTTAATTCTAACTCATTCAACCTACTCCTATAATGATGTTCAATAATGATGGAAAAAAATGTTGTCACCATTTCTGAAACAAGCTTGCAATTAGGCAATATACACATCATGCTTATCCTTACTATATGGTAATAACTATTTTTTGGCATTAAACGCGATTCATTTATGGTGTTCTCAACCTCTTGGCTTGCCATAATCCTAACCAAACGTATATTACACACGGTGTGTGTCCTGTGCACGTAAAAACAAATTTTCGCGTATGAGTTGTACGAAAAACACACTGCGTGCGAGACGCATTTAGTGTGACTGGGTTGATATACTGTATCTATGGCAACCAAACGTCACTGGTGAGACAAACGTGCAACGAACGGACGGTCAGATTACATTTTGGCGGGGGAAAAACTGATCAGAACATGTAACAGAAGTTGTAGAAATGTAGTGGAGTAGAAAGTATAATAATTGCTGCAAAATGTAACAAAGTAAAAGTAAAAAGTATGCACTATTTATTCTACTTAAGTAAAGTAAAGATACATGAAAAATGTACTCAAGTAAAGTAACAAAGTATTTGTACTTCGTTACATTCCACCACTGGAAACATCACAACATTTATTTTCATCTAGATGCATAAATATTTCATCAAAATCTTGTATTGGCATTTGTGGTTCAGATTACATGATTTTTTTTTTTGTTGGTCTATTTAATAGTTGTTTATTTTTCTCCTGTTTTCCAGTTTCCTCTATTAAACCCAGTCATGCTGCGGGATGTTTTGCCCCTCAGTTGTGCTGAAGGAGTGTGTTCCTTCGGGAAAGTGACGTCAATGGGGGACAAATGAAATCAGTTTGGACTGCACAAAATGCTTTGAAAGACGATTGATGACAATAACAGACTGAACCATTTTAACTGCATGTCGATCAGATAGTACTCGGACGTTTAGATCAGATTTGTTTCTCTATTGCGTTCTTTTATGTAACTAATTGTGCTTAATTACTGCTTATGCTTAATTGCATTAAAAATGACGGCACAACCCATTTAAAAACCTTGTGATGTACCATAGAGAGCTAATATTAAAGGTAATATTCAATGCAAACTTCTTCAAGTCGTATAATCCGTGGCTGTTTTTGTAGCGTGCTTTTTTTCGTCATCATAGGTAACTTGCTGGTGTGTTGAAGAGAGTGGGAGCTCCAGGACTGAACAGCCAACTGTTCCAAGCTCTGGGCAGAAATAGAGCAAAGGAGCTCAGCTAAACATAGTCAACAAACTTCTGCCAGCCACAACCCGGCTTAATATGGCAGCTGCGCTCTCCTGACAAACAGGCATTTGTCTTTAAAACCAGTCTGAACCGCATGAGAATCATGACTGGCCCTCCTGCCCGCTCCGGTGAACAGGCCTGACACACACACACACACACACACACACACACACAACAACTGCGCCGCCAGGAAACATGATGTGATCATCTTGTGGACAGTAAAACTGATACTCATTTATATACAAACTGCGCTAATGCTGATTAAATCCAATGGGAATTACTATGGATCTGTAACTCTAATATGAAAGAATAGTCCGAAAAATCTAATTTTATGAAAGGAAATTTTTTCCTCGTTTTGTTTTTCCGGTGAGAATCATATTTGATAAATCGGGCTTTTATGTCAGTTGCCCAAACTGAGCAAAAATATGTTTCTGATATTTAGCCGATAGATCGGTCAATGAGATCTTAGTATAACAGAATACTTGCATTAAAAATAAATAACCAGTTGTGACTCTATATCTTTCAAAAAGTATATTTAAAGGAGCTGTGTGTAAGATGGTGGCGATAATAACTGGTACTGCAATCACATTCAAATTAGGGCGTATCCCCCCTTTCCCCTTGACTCAAGGTTGCCAGATATGCTGCAGGATCCAGCAGGAAGGTAGGCTGCTACAAGAAGATTCCAATGGCAAGTGACTAGTCCTACACAGTGAGTTTTTTCTGTTAATTATTTATTTCGGACTTTGTCACGAAGTATTTCGGCGAGTTTTTTGGGGTTTCGCAACGTTAACTTTTTTTTTATCTGATTCCGACACGTTTGTATCTGCAGCTGTGGTAACTAGAGAACAGCTGGCAACCCGAATGCCAACACTACTGAGTCCGTGATTGGTAGATCGGCGGAGGGTGACGCATCAGATCAAAACACAAAATGACAACATCAACACCAGTCGAGGGCTGCAACTGCACTTTTTAATTGACAATATCCTGACCGGACTACTGTTTTCAGTGATACAAGTATTTAAAATTAACATGATAATGAAATTTATGATTAATTGAAATAAATTTCTTGCATACAGCTCCTTTAAATGCTTGATTTTATGATCAAAGCTCTGTAGTATATATATTTTTTATGGGTGCCAAAATGATGCAATGATGTTCATCAAAAGCCTGATCATATTTGATGCATTTTGAGATGAAAATCATGTCTGGATAATGAAGTTCAGTCCAATTTGTGTTCATGTTGAAATATTACTAAAAATATAAATGATGTTATGTGCTTTTGACGTTCTTTAACATTGGGATACTGAAATATACCATCTTACGTAATCACCCGATCAGTGTTTCAATTGCGGAAAAACTTTGAAAGGCTTGTAAACGTCACCTGAAAAATGTATATGTATACACACGCAGAACAACCCACATCTGTAAATGAGACAAGAACAAGAAAGCACATTTTCCATGGAGTTAGTTTATTGCCTTTTGTTGCTTTGATTTGGGCAGGTGGATCGGCACAAGATCACAGTGTGGAGCATGAAGCCCTTCTTACACGAGAGGGATCCTGTTTGATAGATAGGACACTAACATACACAGTACAGTTACCTTAGCTTTACTATTGTTAGATTTAAAAACAGACTACCATGGTTACATCACAGTGTGTTACAAAGCACAAGAATGAAAGACTCAATGAGCGTATTACCAGATCGACTGTGAAGTTTCAAGACAGTATCATCGCCCAAAGCTTTGGACTCTCTCATTAGAAACATATTGCATCTGTGACCGTCTTTGGAATCAGAGGCTAATTGAGTTATTAAATGAATGTTCATTCATCTGTGCTATTCACCATTTCCTTTAAGGACTGCATGTGTGATTTTCTCGACAAACGACATCGTTCGGCAAACCTTCAGTGCAAAGATACTGTCGAGAACATTTGGCAGAGCACACAAAATGACAAAAGAATTTCTTGCTTTGTTAACATGTATTTTTCTAGATAAACATTTATACTTAATCACTATTTAATAACTGATCTACTGACCAACCCAAGCTCTTATTTGGATGGAAAGAAAGACAATTTTTCTGATGGTAAAAGTTGACTTTGATTCTTTTCGGAGTAAAATCGGACTAAACGGTTAAAGAGTAAGGCCTTTGGTAAACCAGTAGCTCCTAATGCGTCTAACCCGGTCCTCAGAGATCTGAGGGGCACTTAGATCATTTCATTCTCAAAAGGCATTTTCAACTTTCAACTATGGGAATCAATAGATTGGGCAGGGCGAAATATTTTATGACCCATTTGAAGGGTAAATAAACTGATGCTCGAATTTTCCACCAAACCATAGAACGCAGATGTTTAAAGTGGGAGAAGAAATAAGCAGAAATGGCTTCTCAAATTGAAACTGTTTGCTCAGCGAAAACCAAATGGAGCTGGGTGGTCTGCAGAAAATACTGGAGTTTTACACACACACACAATCTAAAACATTGAACAACTGCAGCACTTGATATTTCAAATAAAATCAGATTCATGTGCTATCTGTCTCATATGTCTCCCTGCAACTGCATTTCAGAAAGAATTCCCACTCCCTGTTATCATCTTTATCAAAAGTACATACGGCATTAAACGGTAAAATATAACACACAGATATCATTTATATTTATATGCATATAAGCAAAATAATAGCCTTCACAAAATAAATCTCTGATTTATTTTACAGCATGTAAATCACAAGAAAAAAAAAAAACAAACAAAACGCTTTCTAACACGATTAAAAAGTGCTAGCAGATTATTTTACAACAATGTGCAAATGTATTCTGAAGCCTTACATTATGTAGTCTAATTTGTACATTCTGAATACATCTATAACGCCACAATGATTTAGTGTTTGAGTCGATTTTCCCACAGGGCAGAATTCCCACAGGTCGGAATGAGGCCGGTTTGTCTTGGTATAATCTTGGCTATTTGTCCATGGGTTCTCAACTTAAGACAAATAAAGGCAAAGTTTGGCAACTACGTGTCTATTGTTCAGCAGAACGACAGAGACCAAGCGTTCTGCACCGGACATTGGCAAAAAAAAAAAAAAAAAATGAAAAAAAAAAACGTGGTTGTTCTCGGTGGAAATGTTATTTTAAATTGTCGTTTTCAATTATCTGGCAACTTGCATTCAAACTAGGGCTGTGCAATTAATCTAATTTATGATAAAATCGCGATGTGAGCATGTGCAATTTCTAGGGCGGCCTCCAAATAGTCGACTAGAAGAGGCTTAAGCCTAGTTCACACTACATGATTTTAAGCCCGATTTGCAAATGGTTGAGCTCGTCGACAGGTCAGGGTGTTATCGCGCGCAAATCGTGGGGGATTAGCGACGCTCGCCAATCTGTTCGCCAACAACGCATCAAAGACGCTCGCAGACGACTCGCAGACCCAGAAAAATATCTAGCATGCTAGATATCCTCACGTGATGTCATGAGCTACAACCAATCAGAGCAAGGCAAATCTGCGTAAATCCTATTTTTTCTTTCTTTGCATTTTTTCTCAGAGCAAATCACCATGCAAACAATTTGCAGCGCTAGTTTCCGTCTGACGTCCATATTCGCGTGTTGAGTTCTTCGTCTTGTTCGCTGGGAATTGGTCATTTCCAGTTCTTTTATCGCACGATTTTTCGCGACAAAACGTGGTTTGTTGTAGACAAGATCTAGAATTTTTTTATGATATAATTGTCTAATACTCATTTTATTGTGTTTTGTATATGATGTTCATCGTGTTTTCTTTCGTCTCTCCAGATAACCCACATTGACGGAGAGTGTTTTGTACCTATTTTGTTGATTATCCATATGTATCTATGTTAAACCTGATTACCTTTGGTTAATTGATTGTTTTTAACCTAAGTAGATTGATTGATTGTTCTCTGATTTAAGGTGGGGTGTTATTTATAATCTTTCGCCATTCTCATTGTGTGTGTTACTTGGCCCCGAAGAAGACCATTTGTGGGTCGAAACATGTTGGCTTGTAACTTTTTATAATGAAATAAGCCAGTTTCAATAAAGGCTTTTTAACCTTCGCCTTCTCCTCATTATCCATTTGTTGAGTGCCTGGGACCTGCATGTTGTTTCATAAGATCTAGAATCGTTGGGTGACAGAGTTGTTGTCAACTTGTGTAGTGCGTTACCTCCCTGTTGCGGATCAATCATGTTGTGTCGTGTGGTGTGAACAGCTCAGCAACTTGAACACTCTGGATTTCACAGAGAGCAAGTCATGTAGTGTGAACCGCACAGTCCAGCCCGACGTTTTAAAATCATGTAGTGTGAACTATGCTTTAGTTGACCAAAATTTTAGCAGTCGGTAATATGCAGACAAAAAACTCCACAGGAAGTGTTGGTCACGTAGTCTGTGCAGGACAGATGGTTAACAAAGGGTTTATGTAGATGTATGTCCTATCACCCATCAACTTCAAATATGGCTTATTATCATTGGAAACATAGCAACTTTACATAACTAAAATGTGCCGGGTAATTTGCAAGACCTGTCAAACTATCATTGCGGCAAAACAGAGTAGGGGCCATTCAAACAGAACTGTTTTTTTTTTTTACAAATTGAACTTCTTTTAACTTGAGCGCAGTCATACTGCAAAAGACACGAACGCAATGGTTAAAGACGTCCGTCAAGCGGGTTTACATAGAAAAACAACAGCTTATCCCAAAACCAGTAGAACAAAAATCCATAATACAGTACATGCTATTGCGAACCGCGCAACATTCGGAAAAAGTTCAAAAAGGCATAAAAAACAACCAACGCTGTCATGCACCATTTATGCAAATGTATGGCGCTCGCAAAGTGTGTAAGAAACTATTGTCTCAAAATCGTAAAAAAAAGAGTTTTGTTTTGTCTATATTGCACAGCCCTAGTTCAAACTGTGAAATTTTAAATTGTTAGTTAAAGCTACAGGAATCTTTACGATAATGTGAAACTTTACATTAAGATTTTAAAATCATAAAATAAAGATATCATAGAACATACTAATACTGGCACTCAAAATGTAGGACTGAAAATATTCGTCATGAAACATTGTTTGCAACCAATTTGAAATCAGTAATGTGATTTTATTGGTTGCGTTATAAAAAATGGGTGTTTCATGTTGACTAACAATTCAATCCTAAACAGAATGCAACATTTGGTTCACAAGCACCTTAGGGAAGTGCCACGTCTTCATTTGAAAGCCAGCCTGTGTCTAATAAAAACTTTCTAGATCACATCAAGCTTGCGATACATTTCAACTCAACTATGAAGATGTTGTTTTTTTATGGCAACCGAAACCATCTCCTGACAAACTTGAAGAGAGATGGAAAGTCACGCTCCGTTTGGCACATACAGTAAACGCTGTAATGTCATGCACCAGGTATTGAGGTCACCTGTCTCAGATGAAGACACATTGAGAAAGCGAGAGAAATTTGCAAAGACATTTAATTTGATGGCTAGATCTGCATCTATTTTTGCTGATCCGTTAAACTCAGCATCGTTTATTGAAGCATATATTTTAGTTTATGAATTTGGGAAATTTATCACCATTGTTCTGGATGTCATTATGGGCCAATTTAAGTCAAGGTTGCATTTGTAAAAAAAAAAAATGCTCAGATTTGATACTCGTGTGTCAATGCAAAGAGACCCTTGTCATGTTCAGGAAAGTTGCCTGTGGGAATTCTGCCACTCAGTCAAATGAAGTTATAGGCAACACTATACTGTCCCCTCCCTCCAAAGACACGCTGATTTCGTTCTGCAAGTCTTGAACATTGCACATCTTTTTCTTTTTTTATCATGTATAGACTGCAGTTTGAAAGGGTGGAAGAGGAAGAACATCTGGTAATGTGCATGCTAGAGGATCTGAAACATATGTAACCATCAATATCCATCAGCTGTTTTAAGACTGTAAGATGATTCAGAATTCCATAAAATGTCAAATAAATACTGAGGATTTCTTCAACCAGCTTGCCTTAGGAGGGTTGTCGTAAGATTTCCCTTTTGATCTACATAACACTCTCAAAAATGATCACCTTGTTCTCCTCCGTTCCAGGCGACAAAGAGGTCAGGCTTTTAATGTCAGTGTCAGGGGCCATGTATTCGAGGTGATGGGCTCCCCACACTGGTTTGGTCAGACTTTCCCAACGCTGCATGAAAAACAGAGGAGACAACCACAAATAAGCTTAGCTGTGACAATTACAATGAATGACCTTCAAACTAAGCTTCTGATTTTTAAGTTTAGAGTGTCAGCAGGTGTTTCCTCAATATCCTACATTATTTTCTAAGGGGTGCCACTGCGAATATGGTAATGCATGCAAATTTTGGGTAATTTATTTATAAATCAGGCCCTGACAGACGTTTAACAAAAGCAAAAGTCATTTGTATTGTTTGTACAGTCATTGTTTTTTTCAACCTTTTTCGTAATTGAAATAAATCATAAAAATTTTAGATGATGCTAAAGAACATACCAAAATTTTAAACGAAAACTTGAAATATAAAGAAATTAAAAGTGAAAAAAGTTAATTTTAATGCTTTGTCACTATTTATTTAATCTCACAATTGTAAGAAAAAAAGTCAAGCTTAAATAGTTGTTTTCTGTCAAGCTGCTTTGAAACGATGTGTATTGTGAAAAGCGCAATACAAATAAATGTGTATTGAATTGTTCTATTGAATTACTGCAGATTTAAATTGACTGTGTGTTGTGCAGTTTGAAAAATAGGAATAGGATTGTTTTTAGTCCAAGCAAGACGAGCAGAGAGAACTATTGGATAAATATCCATCTGGCCAGTGGGCCATTCATGCAATTTGCTAAACCCCAAAATAATCTTTCACGATAAAACACAAGTCTAATCACAACTACATGACATCCCTATTGTTTTCCATTTTTTCTCCAGCATCCTGTGTTAGTTTTCCCACAACATACATCCCACAACCCTGCGTGTTTGGAAGCAAACACTGAAGCATTGTGGTCTATCTGCATAGGAATGACAACCACTAGCCTAGTTACTATAAATACGGACGTTGTTTCTCATGAGTAATTCTGATGCTTTTCAATGAGGTAACTGACCCATAGTCCAACTCCAATGACACCCAACGGCTGTATTACACTGCAGATTTTGGACTGTTTGCATTAACTGCTGTTGCTTTATGCGTTTTTGGGGTTGACAGTGTTAGTTTGGATCACTTAAGTAACTCTTATTATATTATAGCTAGTGCATGGGTATCAAAGCAGCGGTTTGAATAGTGAAATGGTTGCAACGGGACACACCTCTCTGAATGTTCCCTTGGATCCAGCGAGTTTGTACACGAGGCTAACGGGGATACAGAGCATGGAGGAGAGAGCCAAACACCATCCGATCACCTCTCCCCACCACGGGTACACGTACACATTATTGTAGGTCAGAGGTTTGTAGTTCAGCAGGTGAAATAGGAAGATAGCCTGAGGACATACAGAACAATGGCACCCATCTGATTAAATCATTCAGGCATTAACATGTCATTTTCTATCATTGTAATGGCTGACTCAACCTTTTTTAAAAGCATGAACAGGTGAGAGTATTTTCCAGCACTCACCATGCAAACACATGGAGTTATAAAGGACCAGCACCACTTTATCCACGGGAATGGCCGGTAACCGATCATACGAGCAATATCGTCCATGAACCTGTCAGCACCTGCACACAGAGGCATGAAGTCAGCACTCTTTTGGGCGTATGTGGGATTAGAATAGTGTTTGTGTCAGCACAGGGTCCTACATGCTATTTGCATCTCCTAATGCCTGCAGTACTCAAGATAAACTGATGAGACATGAGAACGTTGCGTGAAGGGATTCTTACCATAAACCCACGCGACAACCACGCATTCCCAGAATGCTTGCCACAGTAGGGTCATTCCACTGGCTGAGTAGTAGTCAAAAAGCTGGAAGACGTACATCCCTCCCTGGAAACGCAAATATATGAAGAAATCATACACTTCATATTAAAATGGACCCTATTTGACTAAATGTCTAACTAGATACCGTGATACTTTTTTTAGGATTCTTTGATAAATTAAAATTACAGCATTTATTGGAATATAAATATTTTGCAACAATGTAAATGTCATTCATTTCATGTATAATCTCAGTATTAAAGTTAAATCTCATTTACGATATATATATATATATATATATATATATATATATACATTTTTTTCAATCTTTGCAATTCGTCATCAAAATTTGGGACATAATCAAAACCAGATTTTTCTAGAATTTTCCAGAAATAAATATTAAATAAATTTCAAAACAGAAAACTTTTATAAAATTCTATTTTATGTAACAAATAATATTCCATAATGGTTATGGGTAAATGGGGTGCAGGTGATAAATGTTGATTTGTAGTTTCTGATTATATTATCGTTTGTATTATATAACTATGATCATGGTTACATTTCCTGTAAAATATTTTCCCAAATTCAAAAAGTAATATTAACCAATAATATCACAGTTCACTTTTCACAATCCAATCAAATCCCTAGTTCCACCCTATAATATTCCCCATTCAATATTTTTTTTTTTACCCTAAAAAGCCAACATTATCAATGGCCAAATTAATCTGCAGCAGTCAGGTGGTACAGCGGTCACGTGGTACAATTAAAAGCTCTCAGAAAAATCCTAGCTTACAAGTTGTGAGGATGTGAACGCTTTTTACAATTTGGAATCTCATAATCATGGTAATTACGACATGGCGTGAAAGCATCTTAAATCATAAAATGTAAGTGTAACAAAACACGATGTTTTTTCATTATTTTCAGTGAGATTCTTTGAAGTTACTTTTCACTTTTGACTGAATGTGAGCTTTATGAGTCATATCACTCCCACATACAGTAACAATTTTTCATGGAAGTTCAGCCTCCGGATGATAGCATGACGACATAATATCCAGTGAAAGGGCTTGGGATAAACCATTATATTCTTATCTGACTAATGGGGGGGTATAACACTAGCCTGGTCGAACACATTTCATATGTACAGAGAGTATGGCCACTCTCCATTGAAGGTGGGTACTCTGTTGAAGTTTAAAACTATTGGATCTGCCATAACCAATCGCTAACGTTTGGTTGTGGCGTATGTCTACAACTCAAACTAGCGCACTTCAACATCATCGTTCTCAGCCCATAAAAAAAAAAAATATATATATATATATATATATATTAAAAATACTAAATTGGGTTTTCAAAATTTTAGAAAAGCCAAGAATATACAGCAAACCAAGATGTAGTACTGAAGGAAAATGAAAATTGAGTGGAAGTACGTAAGAGGGCGGAGCCAGGCTAGGATAACACCTCTGACTGTGAAAGATGCTGATATTCTCACACCTGACACTAACACTTATAAAGGGGTGTTTCATTAAGGGGACTAACCTGTGTAACCATGGAGAGATCTATAATGAAGCATAATAAACAGCAGATCGCGACAGCGATTTCGCGCTGAAAGCGCATGTAATACTTTCCAGGGAAAAGATCAAGAATGCCAGTAACGAAACCCTCCACACCAACAAACTGTGGAAAAAAAAAAACAAAATATCAGTCAGATGTGCTATAAATGGATTTGCTTTCAAATATTTTCAGTTGTGTAATGATAAACAGTATGAATCACAAACACACAAGGGCGATTCTATACTAACTGGAAAAAATTACCTCCATCAATTAGAAAATTCAATTTCTTATTTTTATTTATTACACCACACACCATCTTTTAGCTGTTTCCATGTGAACTGACCTGACTGTCCAGTCCCAGCAGTAGCAGCATGATGAAGAACAGTGCAGCCCACACCGGAGCCACGGGCATCATTGAAATGGCTTTAGGGTACGCTATGAACGCCAAACCAGGGCCTGCGGGGAGAAAAGAAACATGAGAGACGCGTCACCACGGGCTACAGGTCGCCCGCAACTCGGACACACATACACATACAGCACCAACGGAACAGAGAGAGACAGAACTGAGTAAAAGAGAAAGAGAGAGTATGAGAGATAGAAGCACCTGGATGAGGTGAAACGAAGTGATAGCTTGTGGAAAAAAAGGGGACGGAGGGATTTAGTTTGTTCCTATTTTGTATTTTTTTTTTTTGTTTTTTGCTGCTCAAGGCAGGTTTCAATTAGCCATTTAGTTCTTATTAATGTCTAGCATTTGTGCATTTCAGTCTAATGCTTTTCTTTGGAGATGAACCGTAATGTAGTGTAGGCAGTGTCTCATTAGAGGCCTGTAAGTGCATGTTAACATTGAGGGCGTCTAAATCTATCATCTGCTACAATACTGGTAAGTATCACGGCACACTGTTAGTTCACGGTCAGACAAATATAAAAAGCTGGTTAAATACAAATTTGAGTCTTGAGTTTGTCATCTGAAACATCTGTGTGTCCTAAAATATAAAGGGACACAAAAATGAATAAATATTAAATGTAAACTAAACTGAGCTGGCAATCAAATGACATTTATTTCTGCATTTTGGTCTAAAATTAGCCATTTAACCATTTTAACTATGGTTAACTATTTTAATCATAACAGAAGCTAAACTAAATACTTAAAGGGGTCATATAGTATGCTTTTTATCATTTATTTAATTCCCCCGACACTGCTTGTAAAAATACTTGCAAAATATCTGTAGTTTAGTTCACGATGATGATATAAGGGTTGTGTTTTTGCTGGTTTTGCATGTAAGACTTCTATGTATGTGCCCTCTTTGCATGTAAAACAATGGATTTAAGCTGCTCCATCCATCAAAAAAAGCCTCTTTGCAAAGCCTGAATTACATAGTGACAGATTTATAAAACATTTTGACTGTTCAGAAATGAAAAGTGATCAGTCGCTGTTGAGATTGAGGTTTTTTATGCTATACAAAACAAGAACAGCACATGGTTTAACATATTTTCTGTATATTTTACTCTACTTAGCTCTTCAGGTGTTTAGGAATGACAGTATATATATATCATACTTTGACATTATTACGTTATTATGACTGGATGTGCCATGTTATAAGCATCACTGATGTGTCAGTTGTGTTGAGTTCAGAAAGACAGTTTCCATAGATAATCAAACTGCTTTGTCAAAAGATCATGTAAAATTAAATTTCTCACTATATGACCCCTTTAAGAAACTGTAGAGGTGGGAAATTCATGCATTGCTGGCGATATATTGCCAATGACACACTGTTTTTACATGACTTTACAATAAATATGCCTGTCATGATCATGAATTCTGTCGGACAATTAAAGGAGCTATATGTAAGAATTTTAATGTATTAATCGCTTTTTGTATCGGCATTTGCTAAATCTTGTAACGAAACTTAAAAAATGAGACCTTTCCCGACCTCCTAGGTTGTCTATGGAAGCCTGTAGACTGATTTTTATGTAAAGGACTTGGGGCGGTTTTGCAGGGAACATGCAAAGGATGTGACGTTTATGTGAGCTCCCGAGAGCCTCTCTTCCGTTCATCAATGCTTATACAATGTTCAGGATAATACCTAAACCAGTGTTCCCCAACCCTGTTCCTGGCGGCACACCAACACTGCGTGTATTCTTTGTCTCCCTTATCAAACACACCTGATTAGGGCTGAACGATTTTGGAAAATAATCTAATTGCGATTTTTTTAACCAATATTGTGATTGCGATTTAATATGCGATTTAAAAAAAAAAGTTATTTACCTTCTGTATTAGTCGACAAAGACAAGCAATAAATCATTGTACAGTAGGGATGGGAATCTTTAGATAGCTCATGATCTGATCTACTTTTTTTCTCTTAAAATATGCATTTAATTACATGTGTAAAAACACATACTTTAAAAAAACATTTAATTAAACCAATTACATGTTAAGAATTTTAAATAGGCTATATAAAATAATATAGCTTCAAAATATAAAAGCTAGTAAATAAAGAGAAACAAAAAAAACAAAACATTACAAGCAATAAAGAAAGAGTGGTCTCAGTATTTAAAAGTAGTCTGTCTGAATGTTTTTCATTCAAGAGCTGGAGTGATTTCCCCTCAGTTTAAATACGATATGCTGCATTCACACTAATGCATATATCTCTTTTCAAATTGTAAATGTGGTTTGTCCTGTTGATTTAAGATATAACTGACCGTGTTTACATTAATTTCACGTCATAAAAGCATTTTGACATGCAAGTACATTACCAATGAGTCACTCACGGCCGCATGCACGAGCGCTCTTCACAAAGCACGCGTTAGTATTTTAAAATGAAAGCAGCCTTCTCAGTGATTTTCATGGTTTTAATATATAAGCCGACTGCATTCCAAAAGACATAAATAATGCCTCTGTGAAGCATTTGTAAAGAAAATTCCCGCGGGAGAGAACGCGCACTGCAAGTGTAACGTTATAACATCAAGCAAAGCGGCAAAACCTGTTCAATGAAGCCCGCGAATGTCCTTGTAATTCGGTTCTGTCCCGAACTTTATGAAATAACGTTAGCTACTATGTTTTGTAAGGTTCGAGCGGTGTCGTAAGCAGATTCAGAACCCGGTTCGTTTCTAAAGCACGCGCAGCGTCATCACGCATCTCTGTTTAAAAACTATAAGCTCATACTCGATTCTGAAATTCTCTGAATCGATCCAGGATTGTTGAGGAGAGAATAAATAACACAATATCACATACATTAAAAATAAACTGTTCTTTTCTGAACGCCTGGCCGCGTAGCGTGGCAAGTTGATGCTTTATTTTGCAGACTGCTTTTCTCTCGCGTGTCACGTGACCAGTGTAATCGCAGCTCTTCATTCATATGTTCATCATATCGCGATTTTATCGCAAATGCAATTAATCGTTCAGCCCTACACCTGATTCAACCCATCAGCTCATAATCGGGTGGGTTAATGAACTGATGGGTTGAATCGGGTGTGTTTGATTAGGGAGACAAAGAAAACGCGCAGTGTTGGTGTGCCGCCAGGAACAGGGGTGGGAAACACTGACCTAAACAACCATTCTGTACTGTAATTTCAATGTGTCATACAAAGAAAGGGATTCATGTAAACTAGAGTCCAAGATAGCCAGATTACTGGGCTCGACAATAAGGACTTCCCGGTGTGGAATTGTAACTTGCCCGATCGCCAGAGCTGAGTTGTCGAGAAAGTTTATCAGTTGAACATATTTTTAAGTCGGGTCAATTTAAACATTCACGTGATTTTTAACCATTCAGATTCAAGTGAAAGAAGCTGTGAAAGAGAACTTTGGCACACTGTTGAGCCAAGTGTATGCGCACACAGAAAACAGCTCTCTTTTGCGTCTACATGCACTTGAACGGAAAAATACACACAACAAAGTGTCAAAAGGTCCATCTTGGGAGTATGCACCTAAACACTATCGGTTATGTCTTACTTGAACATAAACAGATGAGAAAATGCATGTGTAACAGTATACTGGATCCATGCATTTGGTCTTAAAGTGACAGCAGCCTAATAATAAAGTCTGTGTCGTCTGTGTCTTTTTAAATAAAATCAGACAAAAGACAGAGAAAATCACTCACTGCTCTTGACTGAATAACTTTTGTAGCTTTAACAAGGATTAATATATTAATCCTTGTTAAATTATGCAATTTTTAATCCCTATTTAATTTATAATTTCTATATTTAATTATTATATTTTATTCATACAATCTATAGTAAAGTGAAGACTATGCATGTTGTGTTATGTTTGATTATTCAGTTTCTACACCTGAATACTGTTAGACTTACCTTTTATTTGTATTAATAGTTTATTTATAACTATTTTTTGAGCTGTTGCTTGTAACTTGTTTATTTGTTCTTAGAAATTTTTTAACTTTATATTAGTTACGCTAATAGTTTTTGCTGGGATATTGAAATATGAAGCAATCAAGATTTGTGAAAATGTAATGGTATCTACAATTTTGGTGGCTTATTTATTCGAATAAAATGTGCCATGGGTCAAAACAACAAACATATTTATTTTTTATTTTTGTGAGGCCAGTGAAAATTTTGGCCCAACCAGGCCAGTAGAAAAAAACGTCCGTCTATACAGTCTGAAGTCTCAAATGTACTTCATAACCAAACTATTATAAAAGTGTAATTTAAATCACCCTTTTGGTGGCCGAGAGAGCGTTGTGGTCTGTGCTATTTACAGAGCGTTTCTGTATTTGGTTGTGTTGTGAGTATTTGAAGCACACGTGTTGTAAAACTGATGTAGATGTTTTTCTATTTGCATGCGTCTTCTTTAGTTGCAGCGTTTTGGGCTCTCTCGGCCACCGTATGCCTCATCTATGGACATAATGTCGATGATGCAGAGCTTGTGCAAACATATCCACATCACTGTGATCAGTTGGTTTCTTAACTGCTGCTTTCTCACTGCTGTCATTTTGTTGAGTGTTTATTTTGTTTTAGAGGAAAACGCACAGCACATATTTACGCTGCAAAGGTATTTCCAAATGTTACTACTAATCGATGAGCGAAAAAGAAAATTGCATTAAGTATATAGGGGCCTTGAATCAAATTCAGTCTCTTCTCACTTGTAGGACTACGCTACTTGTGTACGAGCGCGAGCACAAGCAATAGTTGTTTGCTGCAGTTCAATTAACGGCCACCGGTGTCGCTAATAACAAGGGTTTCTGAATTCTACATATAGCCCCTTTAATTGTCATTCAGATAATTGCGATTAATAATTCAATTCAGTTGCGTTCATGTCACTAAGAGTGTAAGCCTAATATGAATAATAAAATAATAAAATTATCAAAAGTTATTGTTTTACTTGGAATTATATAATTCAATAATAATTTTATGATAAAATAGGCCTACATAATATAATATTAATATAATATAGTCTGATTAAACCCACAAACTCTCATTTAGTATGAGGGATGACCTTTGACTATCTTTGTTTACTTAACAGTGTTTTTTTTATTTATTCTTTGGCAAAATGTGATAGAAATATAAACTGCACTATGATTGCGGGTATCTCAATTAACTTTGATTAGATCGAATAACCATTATTAATCAATAATTGAGGCAAGCCTAACAACAAATATATATACAGTATATATTTAATTTGATGGCTGATAAATGAAACCACGATACAGGGAAATTTAATGGAAATACAAGGTGAAGAGCAAGAAGAAGGATGTGTCTTATATTAACGTCAAGTGACTGTTCTATGAGATTCAACACTGAACTGCACTGAAGTTTTTGTGCTGACAAAAGTTTGGAGAATGTTAGTGCCAGACATTAACATGTTTCTATTGTGTTGGGGTTAAAATAGACTGAGTTTACAGCTTTTCCACACTTTGGCTTTGTCTCTCAAGATGGATGACCTTAATTGTGAAATGGCGCTAGGCTACGCTGTGCATGTCGGGCCTGCCTGTGTCGGCAGACGCTCGTAGGTGCTGACTTTAGGGCTGGGCTGTAGTAGTGGTGTAAATGCTAACATTAGATATCAGAGGTTTACCTGCGTTGGCAGACTGCTCCAGGACCCCTCTTGAAATCGAGATGTGCACATCTCAAGAGGCAAAGTTCCTGGTTAAATAATCCTTAAATTAATACTTAAAAAAGCCAAAATATAGATATAGAGATATAAATGAATGAATCACAAGATATATAATATATATACGGGACTGAAGACAATCAAGGAAAACTAGTCAAAGCATCAAATTTATGACGGGGAATCTGGTTCGCTTTCTAACTGTAACTGTCATCCGATTGTGTGCTGCAGGAAAATGAAAAATAAGAAAAAGCCACAAACAATGTGTCAATGGTTTCCTTCTCAAAGTTGTCTGGAAATACAGCACACCACAACCCACTCGGACATCACGACAAACCCACTGACACAAAAAGACTCCTTTAGACCTCAGGATTTGTTTCTAAACATCATTCTGACAGACAACACACTAGAAGACAGGGACCAACACACACACACACAGATGAGATTTCACACACTCTCACTCATTCTGACAGACACACATTCAAAACATGTCTGTGTGTGTGCATAAGTGCATTCTGGATGTATTCTTAAAGGGGTCATATCATATTTTTTTCCCCTCGTTTATAATGTTTTTGTTCTGAAAACATCACATTTCATAATTATCAGTAGCAATAGTTTGGGTTTTTGATTCCTGAAATTCAAGAATGAAAATCATTCATTTTCAACATAATTGAGCTAAATAATGACATTATTATCTTTTTAGAGATGCTTAGCCTGCTTTACAGCTGAAATTGTATTTGTTGCAAATATTAAGGGCCAGATTTACCAAACATTGGCGTGAGAGCGCAATTCCATAAAAGTGCCCATGGGAGTGGAGAGTTCTGCGAATTAAAAAACAGACGCAGCTGAATGATCGTCTTTTGATAATCGAAAAGATAATCGTCAGCGTCTGGTTTAAGACATCCTTTGAGTGGTAAATAATGGTGCAAACAATCTCAAACCTTAAACCTTTACCTTAGAAAATAACCTCTCTTGATTCATTTAAATACTCTCTCCTCCCATAAATTTTGCTCCTAAAAATGCATAAGGTCAGCCACAAAAATAATCGTGTCCTTGCCTTTTCAGCGCTTATTTTTACTGCATTTCTTTATTAAATCCTGACAGTGTTTTTTTTAAACCAAATCATTTTGATGACAGACTTTGGCTCAGGCGTTTTAGAATGTCCAAACCAACATTTGAGATGCTGTGCAAAAAAACTGATCCCCTGGTTAGTCCAGTTATGCAATCACATCCTCCGTTGAGGCAAAGTCAAGTACGTTTTGTTGCGCATTGAGAGATTTATAAACAAGTTTCCATACTTGTTTATGTGCATGTCTTCTTATTGGATGAAACATTTTCCACCTCAATTGAGCATTTTTAGAATTTATGTGCATCTTAGTGTTTCCATTTTTGCATAAAAATAGGTGGATGGAAACATTGTGAAGCTGCTAAATATATGTGACTTGACTTGATTTAAATTCAATCTCTTCCATGAGTTTAAACCTAGCTACATTCAATTTCATTTGGTAATTTTTAATATTTACATTAAACTTGGCATTACGATAATCCTAGTGAAAAAGTGTAAGGACATGTGGTCCCTCATGATTTGACCCCTTTAAAACATGCAGTTCACTGCTAGGATATCAACAACGCATCAAAGCTGCGATATGAAAATTCATTAACGGCAAGGACGTGAGGGTCAACTTTATATGAAGTCAGTGGCATCTTGCCATGTTATTCAAAAATGTTATCACTTCATAAGTCATTTAGTCTTTCTGCATAGTCTCTCCTTCAGGCCAAGAACATGCTGTCCTTTACTGAGCCTCAACAAACCAGTGCACCGCTTCTGTGCCGCCGCAAGCTCAAACTGATTTTAAAAATGACAGTACTAATTTACTATGCAGGAGAAAGAGTAATACTATTAACACAAAATGCAGCTCAGCAACAATTGAAAAACTGTACAGGTCTACTGAGGTTAATTTAGGGGGAGTCTTAGGTATTTCTTCATACCTAATTCAAATGTTTAGGAGGTTAAACTATTTAATTTTTATATCTTTTGCACACATTAAATTTCATGCCCAAAAATTCATTATGATATAGTTCATTTTACGGAATAAAAATCCTGTTAAATGCAAATGCATGCAGATCTAAAGTTTCTATCAAATATCATATTTAGTTCTACAGAAAACTCTGTTCGGAGCATGACGTGATGTTCACACATTTCAAAAAGCCAGATTGTAAAATGTTGCAAATGACCAGGTTGTGTTTTTTTTTTTTAAGAGAAAAAAATGGTATTAGCAAGCCTTTATTAAAAATAGTTTCTTATTTAAATCATTTACAGCTTTATTGTCATGAAATAATATCTTAATTATGCTAATGTGGAAATATGGATATATATATATATATATATATATATATATATAAATACTGTGTATAACCTTTCCACATTAGCATAATTAAGATAGTATTTTGTGACAATAAAGCTGTAAAGGGTTTAAATAAGAAACTATATATATATATATATATATATATATATATATATATATATTGCTTTGAAACTATTTTCACTCAGAAATGAGTAGTAACAGTAAATTTCACAAATTGTTAACAAGAAACACATTGAATTAAATGTGAAATTTTGAAGTAGAAATACTGAACAGAATTTTCTAATAAAACATACTCCAATAACCTTTGTTTTCTTAAGAAAAAAATGAATGAAAATGAAGAAGATGGCTAAAAAAACATAAATGACCTTCAACTAACCGTCACTTTTTGGATATTTAGAGAATCCCGAAATCTTCAAAGGGAAAAACGCTTATGGTGTGTATTTTTTCTTTTAACAACAGATTTTATAAAGACATTTATGCATATATGCAAGACATGAATCTAGTGCCATTTCTGGAGGATGGTCAGGTTATGTGCAGATCATTAGTGATAACTTTATACAAATATAAATGTGACAGGTGGCCAGGTTTTCACACTTTAAATGTGAAACATGTAGGCCAATGTGTTATGAGCGTTACAGATGAGCGTTAAATTCATGCCACATGCTATTAGTCTAGTCTGTGATGAATCATCAGTATTTCACTACAGGTAACATAAACATAAGATTAGACTTGAAATGGCAATAAATGTCTGCTTTTATGTGTGCAAATTGAGGGATTGCATTCTGGGAATCATGTATTCCTCATAAAATGTTTGTGTTCATGTAGGACACAGCATAAAGGAAGAAGATTGCACTAATTGTGATAGCAAAACTCACAAACATACGCACTTACACACACACACACACACACACACACACACACACACAAACACATACCTTCATTCAGAATAGAGACAGACAGACACACACACACACACACTATTCTACCCAATACAAAAATGAGTGACATACAACTGTGTTAATTCATGAACCATTATCTGTTATTTACCATTATAAACTTAACACACACACACATAAAACGAACTGCTAATTGTCTGCTACCTTTCACATTAATATGACTAAGAGCAAATAGCATTGTGTATAAATATAAACACGCTCTTCATTTATATTCTGTTTTCAGTGATATTGTCAAAACAACAATAAACATTTACAGTAATACACAATAAAACTCACATATCACACTGCATTGAAATTCATTTACAATAGATTATCGTCATCATAGCACATGTTCATGACTCACACAATGCATGTTTCATTCATTTTCAGCAGATCTTTCTTGCATTAAATATTGATCTCATAAATGATTTACAAGAACCAGCCCCAGGTCAGAAATGCTTATGTGAACTAAAAACAAGTACAAGTGAATTATTGAACACCTGCATTAAGAGGCACGTTGTTTCAGGCCTGGAACTAACATCAGGGCTGGGTGGCGCACACACATGAATAAGCTTTAAAAATATACACGAGTTTGTCTTACTTTCCAATATAGTGCATACATAAACTGTCACCAGTATTAAAGTAAATGACTGTGGACTCTTACCCGATTCAGCCACTTTAGAGATGTCCACACCTTGCTCAGAAGCCATAAAACCCAAGATGGAGAAAACCACGAAACCAGAAAAGAAACTGGTGCCACTATTAATAAAAGCCAGAACAAAAGCATCCCTGAAAAAAGAAGAAAATAACATTAACTACGGCTCGGTTGTGGCATGTGTGTCGTTGTGTAACACATTTGATGAAGCATTATGTACTGTATGCGATGAACTATAAATGCCTTAAAATGCATTCATAATGTATTATAATAATAATGCCACATTACTATCAATTATGTCTTCTATATTGCATTAAATAACATGATTTCATGATTTCAGAGATATCATGTACTTTAATGCACAGAACCTTGAATTGGTACGTAAAATATATAACTGTGGTTACATGCACTCAATTGTTTTCAAATAAAGGGCTGTCAAACGATTAATCGCGATTAATCGCATCCAAAATAAAAGTTTGTGTTTACATAATATATGTGGGTGCACTGTGTATAATTATTTTATATATATAAATACACACATGCTTGTATATATTTAAAAAAAATATTTTCATGTATATACTGTATATAGATTTATATATAATTTATATATATAATATATATTTTTTTTTTCTTAAACATACATACATGTGTGTGTATTTATATATATATATATATACACACAACATAATTATACACAGTGCACCCACATATATTCTGTAAACACAAACTTTTATTTTGGATATGATTAATCGCGATTTAATTATTTAAAATGATTATTAACTTAACTATTTCATAATCAACAAAACAAAACAAAATTAATTATTTCATACTTAAAAATAAAAAATATAAATCATTAATAAAATATTTAATGGAAATATTTATATTAAGGCTTGTTTTTATTTTGTAGTTAATAACATTCATTTCTAATTGAACACATTTTTATCAAGAGTTTACAAAACTGCATAAGTTTTCTTATAAGAATAAGGCTTTAAAAATAGTGCAGAATCTTCATCAAAATAAATTCCACTTCTTACCGAACTTTGTTCGTTCACTATTTTATATTGAATTTTCAGGATTATGCATATTTATACCCTGCTAAAGTGCTTTGTACATTAAAGTCCAAGCTAAAAACTGCTGATTCAGTGCATCTGGAAATTTGAGATCTATTTAAGTAATGGCTGTTTGCTCTTTGCCAGCCACACAATCCAGCTTCTTATAGCACAAGGTCAGGGCTCTCTGATTGGGTGAATGTGCTAGACACAACGTCTTTTGAAAAGAAAACACACACTGGTTCAGAAAGATCGCAAGGCGGCATAACAAAATGTGTCCTTGTCTCTTCAAGGCTGTGATGGAGGCTTACTTATAACAGTCATTGTTGAATCTGTTATAGCTGCCCAAGGCGGTGAGGGCTCCGAGCCCGATAGCGTAGGAGAAAAAGATTTGAGTGCCGGCATCGATCCAGACCTGAGAGAGACGGAAAGAGTAATGGCTGTCAGACAAACAGATGCACTGAATATGAGCTCAAAGTGACACCAGGTACTCTGGAGAGAGACATAAAAGTCAAGTTTAAAAGTGCTTAGAAACACTGTTTCAGACCATTTCACAAGATGTAAACAACACTGGTCCAGAAGCACTTCCTGTTTCAGTTTTTTAACACTACATAAAAGCTGGGGTAAAATACAACCAACAGAACATTTAAAACTGAATCAAAAAGTTAAACAAACATCTTTAAGATGTTTTCTTTACATGTGAAATAAAGAAAACAGTTACAAACTGAAACAGGAAGTGTTTCTGGACCAGTGTTGTTTGTATCTTGTGAAAAGGCCTATACTAGAGGGAGAAAAGTTAGAACGAGTGAAGAGTATTGAATTACATTCACATTTATTCACTTGAGTAAAAGCAGGTGATTTCATCCAAAGAGAGGTATGAAGCTAAAGGAGAAACCTAAGTCTCACCTGTGCCTCTCCTAGCTTAGACCAATCAGGTTTGACATAATACAAGATCCCATCATAAGCTCCAGGAAGAGTAACGCCCCTCACCAGGAGAATAATCAGGACCACATATGGGAACGTGGCAGTGACATACACAATCTGTGAGAAACAAAAAATAAAGACACAGACATTTGAACAGTTTTCATTGCATATAACTTGCTGCTTAGCTTATTAACTTATTATTTGCAGTTGCTAAGGCTATTATTGTTAATATTGCTAATATTTTAGTGGAGTATTTCCAGCATAATCATTAAACTTTGCCACAAAACGTCACAGTGCCCAATTTGACTGGTCTCGTTTTTATTAAGGATTTAAAAATAATGCAGAATCTTCATTAAAATTAGGTTTAAAACATAAAAGCCAGACTTTTAGGTTATACATAAATCCTAAAAATTTCCAGGTTGAAATAATAAGAAAAAAATCTGTATATATAAAGCTGGAGGAGAGAACATTACCTTTAACTTAAGGCTATTACTATTTTAGTGGGTATTTGAAACATAAGCATTAAGTTGTGTTTGTTGAGCAGAGATATGCAACTATTTCTCGAAAATATCAGAATTATCAAAACACGCTTGCAATGGCCTTGCAATGTCCTGAAAACACCCACAATATGCGAGGATGGTGTTGCATGAGAATATATATTTTATATTATATATTCATTCACTCACACAATATTTTCTTCATAAAATGTAAAAAATAAAGTTATTTCAATAAACGTCCTTGTTTGCTAGTGATTTTGGCAGTCATTTACGTGCATTTAAGAGCATTTGCTAGACTGATTACGATCACATAAAATCTAAAAACATAATCTAGTTTAAGTCAATATTATCTGTAGATTTATATCAGGGAATTTGCTGCGTTGCATCTCTAAAATACTTTTTATCTCTCAGGTCTCAGCGAGGACAGTGTTAGTCACATGCTGAGCATTCTGTCATGTGAATAAAGCTGAGAAGCAAGTCCCGCACGTCTCACTGCCTTCTGTTATCAGATCATTGCTGATTTTTTAAAAAAAAATTTAGCAAGGAGAGGTTTATTGATTCAGTGGCTGGGTCCAAACGGTGTGAACTTTGAACTCTGACAATATGAGACGGATAGCTATCATTTAAATGAGACCTGCTCATTCCAGCTGTTGCTGGTTTATGGATTTGGCTCACATTATATGGTCTTATGAGTCTTGTAGTCTTCAGTAATTGCTCCACATAGACACATAAAAGTAGGACAGCCATTCTAGATCAAGCCCGTCACATTAAAGCATCGCACCCTCCGCTCAGCCCCAGCTCTTCACAGACTTAGATTGTTCTTTCAAAACTCTCTCCTGAATTCCCTCAGGAAGGTGAGCTCAACTCAAAAAGTCCAATGCTGCCCAGTTACAACGAAAGCACGGTCACTGTTTATGATGTGCTGTGGATAGGATGTGCTTTTTGAATTCTCCACGTCATTCTGACATCTTTGTCTGTCCACAGTCCAAAGCACCCATGTCATCTCTAGTAGTCCTACAAGAACAATAATGAATCCTGACATATAAATGAAAAATGCCCCAATTACCTCTAAAACGCATTGATCAATAATGATTGAATTAGCCTATTATGATTATTCATAAAGGATCATGTAAGTGATGTCTGGAGTAATAATTGGTGAAAATTCAGCTTTGCCATCATAGGAATAAATTCCATTTAAAAATATATTCAAATAAATTAAAGTTATTTCATATTGCAATTTATTTTGCAAAATATTCCTGTTTTTTTGCTGTATTTTTGATAAAAGTAATGCAGTCATAGTGAGCATAAAGACTTCTTTCAAAAACAAAGAAATTTACCAACACTAAACTTTTGAATGGTACTGTACAATACCATAGTATTCAAAAGTTGTATTTTAATATTTGTATTTTAATAATAGATAGCTGTCTGATGCACAGCCCTTTAAATCAAACACTTCAACTAAAACTCTGTTACCAGCTCAGACTTTAAGATTCAGTCCATGCCGCTTTCAAGTTGCAGAAATAGATCTGAACTAAAAATACTGGCAGTATACAAACTCTGGTCTAATTCCCATGAGGCCTGTGAATCTGGGGTAATCTGCCACTTAGTATTTGTGCCCCGCAATAAATAATCAGATTTTGAAATAGCCAATTACCTCACTGTAACACTGGCTTATTGTGAGTGTGTGTGTGTGTGTCGTCTGAATGAGTTTGACTTAATGCTTACTCGCAGTGTCCTTTGAATCAATGAAAAAATCAGAAATGGGCAACTAAATATTTAAGTTTAGATAACCTAAACTCTATTATTTACCTTCTTCAACTGTTATGTTACTAGCTTTGAGCACACACAGGAGTAACACAGCGGGGGTGTGTTGTAATACGAGAATGACCTTCTACACAGTAATACGCAGCAGGAATAAAAATAAGTTATTATATTACTAAGGGCTCATATGACCCGCCTCCCGGAGAGAAAATAGGCTGTCGGCCATCTGTACAAGCACCTTATCACGTCCCACTGCAGACACCGGCTCGTGACCGATCAATCTCAGAGCGCCTCCCTGACACGGCATTTTGTAATATTTCCCGCCACACGCCCATAGCAAATAATGTTGCTATGGCTACCTTTCTGCCTCACTTCAGCACTACTGTGACAGAGCAGCAGTGGGTGGAGCTATGTCAATCAAGGTTACACAAGAAAGTCACATTGCACTTGAGCTAAACAAGGGAAATGAAATAAGATGCATTAGATGCAGTCTTTGACATCATATTTTTATGAATTTTATGTGAGGCATAACAACACGGCAAGATTACATAAGAGCATATGAAATGATTTGCAGTGTGCATTAAAGTTAAGCTAATTAAAGATTCAGATAAGATAAAAATGTTGGTTTACTAGGAATATATGCTCTGTTCCAACTTCCAAAACATAGTGAGCTGTTAGTGAGTACATTGGCACAGAGAAAGTAAACAATTACTGTAGCGTTTGAAAGTTATGATGGTTTTTAAACCCTAGGCATTTGATGTCTTTCTTCAATCAGTGATCAAAATACAGTAATATTGTGAAATATTATTACAATTTAAAATAACTATTTTATATTTTAATATATTTTAAAATGTAATTCAAATTTTCAGCATCATTACTCCAGTCTTCAGTGTCACACTGAAGTGTTTTTTTTTGTGGAAAATGTGATGCTTTGTTTTCAGGATTCTTTGATGAATAGTACAAAAGAACAGCATATTTTGTAACATTATAAAAGTCTTTATTGTTTTGATCGTTTTAATGCATCCTTGATGAATAAAAGCATTTCTTTCAAAAACAAAAGTTAACGGACCCAAAACTTTTGAATGGTAGTGTGTTATTAATGTAGCTAGCAATTTTTAGTGGCTAGTAGCTTCCCTAATACAAGTAAACATTGAGCTCTGACGGTTATGTAACCAAGCTTAAGATGCAGTGCAGGTATTTGATTCTCTGCTGTCCATGTGACTGCTTTTACCTGTCTTCAAGGTTCACACGTGTAATGAGAAGCACTAAAGAAAGAAAGATAGACAGAACGAGTGTCCTCACCTTTCCCGTTGACTTCACCCCCTTCCACACACAGAAGTAAACCATCACCCACACGGCCATAAGACACAGCACCATTTCCCAGTTTATCTCGCCTGGCTGGTCCAGCCCATCCGAGATGTTCAGAACCTTGTTCCTGAAATGGAGATAAACATTCATGAATGAAAGCACTGTATAGCACTCACAAAGTGTTGCTTCATTGCAGGTTTTATTTTCATGTGTAACTACCTAACTCATATGAAGCTCGAACTAATCATGAGCCGTTCTGAACGGTCAATCCGTGTGCTCTGTGAACAGATGTCCTTCCAAATCTGAGATTTCACCTTGCATAGCCATTATGAAATGCCTGTAGATTCATAAACCTCATACACAGATCCAGATTGTACAGGCTGCACCACGTGACCAAATGTAATGCCACAGGTTCATTATAGGCAGTGAGCGAATTATGTGTTTAACCGGCTCTGACATGTGGGATTAATTAACGGTACATCAACATGTCCGAGGAAGAAAAGGCAGTTCAATTTTAACAACAAAGTAGGTATCAAAGGCATTTCAAATATTGCAGAGAGAAATGAAAGGCTTAAAAAACAATCACTCACTCCCAAAATTCAATAATAGGGGAACGCCCATTAGCAAGCTCTTCGCACGTCATGTTGCCAAATGTAGAGTTGCCAATGGTGCCGTTGTGGCAGTCGGAGTGGCGGAAGATCTCAATGCAGTTCTCCGAGTTCCATGGGTTTTTGCAGGTGGACCAGGGCAGCGTGGAATTGAAGGACTTTATTAAGTAGTAGAAACCCCAGGCAAGTACCATGATGTAGTACGTGTTACAAAAGAACACAATGACCATGGAGGCAAAGCCAAGTCCTAAAACAAACCAGTAAAAGACAGCATGAAGCAGCACTCGCAATGCAATTAACTCGAATTAGTTAAAAAGAAACCCCTTCAGGTGAACAGTATCCCTTATATAACATGTACTGATGAATCATGAATTCAGACAGTAAATCGAGTAAAATTTGATTGCAACTACAGAATGGTATTTTTACCCTTTTCGTGATAAAATATGTATATGTTAATTTGAAATGTATCAGAATACAAAGTCTAGATATTATGTACAGATGATATTAGGCGATAATATTTTAATTAAATAAATAAATAAATATAAATATAAAATTGATAATATAATAAAATATATATTTAATAAATATAATTTAGATATTTCATATATATAACTATTGTATTATATATAATTTCATTTATATATTATTAAATACAAAATATTACTACACATAAAATAGCTACTTCAAATGTGTTCTATTTTTAATTTATATATATATATAATATATTTAATATATAATATAATATAATATAATAATAGGATTCAAATGATAATATATAATATAAAATTAAAATTAAATAAAGAATGCATGCGCAATGTTTTAAGGAATAATCTAAAAAAGCATCATACCTAGCTAAAAAAAAAAGTAAGGTAATGCATAAAGATGTAGAGCAAACCTTTAAAAAGAGGGGCAATGTTCCACACATTGATGCTTCCAGCTTTCATAAACTGACCCAGCGCAATCTCCAGGAAGAATATCGGAATGCATATATAATATAATATAATATAATAATAGGATTCAAATGATAATATATAATATAAAATTAAAATTAAATAAAGAATGCATGCGCAATGTTTTAAGGAATAATCTAAAAAAGCATCATACCTAGCTAAAAAAAAGTAAGGTAATGCATAAAGATGTAGAGCAAACCTTTAAAAAGAGGGGCAATGTTCCACACATTGATGCTTCCAGCTTTCATAAACTGACCCAGCGCAATCTCCAGGAAGAATATCGGAATGCATATATAATATAATATAATATAATAATAGGATTCAAATGATAATATATAATATAAAATTAAAATTAAATAAAGAATGCATGCGCAATGTTTTAAGGAATAATCTAAAAAAGCATCATACCTAGCTAAAAAAAAAGTAAGGTAATGCATAAAGATGTAGAGCAAACCTTTAAAAAGAGGGGCAATGTTCCACACATTGATGCTTCCAGCTTTCATAAACTGACCCAGCGCAATCTCCAGGAAGAATATCGGAATGCCTCCCAGAAATATGAACAACACATAGGGAATGAGGAACACTCCTGTGAACACACAGCAATAGAGAATGATAATGACAACATTGAATGACATTCACAAATGTATTGCATTTTGATGCAAGAATAGGAATAATTGTTAGAAAACATGCACTTAAATCATTCACAATCAGACAAGAAATGTGTAATAAAGGTTTGATTTGAAGGTCAAGCACTTGATGTGAAATACAAAGAATTGCATTATCCATTCATTCGAGTCATAAGATGTCATAATGCACCATTGTCCAATAAAATAATACCTAGAAACATAAAAAGAGGTCTCATGATGCATATAATGCCAATTAACCCCCCCAAAAACAACTTGCATCTTTAAAGTTTACAAAACAGGTGACCATTTTAACTGAGGGAATTATCTGCTATTTGTGCACAACACCTTAACATGTTAGCACGTCAGATTGGATTTGACTGCTGCTGGCAGCATTAGCATTCATCATGCGGCCTGTGCGGCAGTACGCTGACGCGTCGGCAGCAATAAACCTTCGCTCCACTGATCTGAGATTGACAGCAAAAGTAGCGGCTTAGTGAGGGGGTGGGTCGCCGGTGTGATGCAGATTATCCACTGAAAACAGAGGTGGCATGCTCAATGAAAGTCTTCTTGATGACGTCACCCGCCAATCATCGGCGAGGTGACTGCAGGGGAGGATGGGTGCATGTGACAGACAGAGAGATAGAGAAGGATACGATGGAAAAAAAAGGCAGAGTGGGACGCCGCAATACAAAGTGACAAGCTTACATAATGCTAGCTCTGCAGGCTAGCTGCTACACGGCCAATTTAGAACTAATGCAAGCCAGATTATCTAAACAAGCCATAAAATAACAACCCCGGTTGCTAATTTTAAAACACTGATATGAATGAAATGGTTTCTTTGGGAGCACTGCCCAGTGCCCAGCTTCCATTCAGAAAACAACAGCTTTCGTTGGGACTCGTGACTCAGAAAGAAGCCTTTTGATGAACTGCCTACAGACGGAAGCGCCGAACACAATGTGCTGCACAGATCTGCAGACTGCAGCTGCTATGCGAGTCTATTCCTCTGTGAAAGAAAGGAAAATATGCATATGTGGGCTAGGGTCGGGGTGATTTGCAAACAGAAGAGAACACCGTGGCAATCCCCCCCCCCGTGAGTGGATGATGCATGAGAATGTGACTGCGTGTCAATGCGTGGACACGTACACAGCTACAGCGGAATAAAACAAGAGTGACTCACACACACACACACACAGTCTTGCGCGTACTGCAGTGGCTGACGTCGTGCGCATAGAGCACCTGACTCTGTATCAGCGTGTGCTCAAGGAATCATTTCAGCGTTTCAAGACCAAGGCTTCCAATGTTTAAGTTATTTAAACTTAAATTACATTAATCCGACTTAAAAAAAAGTTGATTTTTGTATAACTTAGAAAAAAAGTGTCTAACTTATTTCAATGAGTTGAAGCTATGTAAAAACATTTGTTGTCATAACTTACTGATGATATAATATTTTTACAGTGTAACAATTCTGAAAATTTTCAATCAGTTGCTCGCTATCATCAAATAATAAACCCTGCTGGAGTATTTTGCAATAATGACTGAACACTGACGGTATATTATCCCTTACTTAACTCCCACTAGCTCACGACTAGACACCAGGTGTGGAGAAAATATGTTAAGCTTTCTATTCTGGATGGGCTAAAAATGCATTGATGGTTAGCGATCGCAACGGTGCTGAAACCTGTTAGCCAGTTAGCGAAATTGCCATGTGAAGCCCCGCTGAGAAGTTCACATCATCCTGTAAAGCACACCCGGGACGAGCTTTCACTCCTTTCTAACGAGCTACCCTTAAAACACAGGCAGAACTGATTGGATTCTTGGGTATAAATATAGATTCCCACACCTCCCCCTTACAGAACAGATGGATATGGACACTCCGTCAAGACATATGGCTCACTCCACTAAGAAGAAAATGATATTGTTTGCATGCATTTCCAGGTGAAAATCAACTTCAGCATCAGTACTGTCGGCTAGCTAGAACCACATGCATTTCAATAAGAAAAACACTATTTTAGAAATGTATGTTGGATTAATAAGTACATTATTAATTTCAGTCCCTTTTTGGCTTTTTGGTAGACTCTCACTTGCACCTACATACTGACATATACATTTTTTAGGGCTGCCCACTGATCTATATAGAGATACTGTGTATACAGTAGCTGCATATGAAAAACATCAAACTGAAAACAAAACGAGTTTATCCAGATCGGATAAAGTTTAGAGAGAGCAGAGAGATCCAGTGAGAAAGCGTTTGACATTACTGCGAGATCTTGTGAGAAGCATTCAAATTCAGCACAGACTGGTGCCGAAATGGAAACCAGGAGAAACATTGTGCCACGAACAAACACGTTATAGAAGCTATACAAGCTTTATGAGTGCGCTTGAGAACTTTTAAAGGCTTATTATTATAATTTAGGCTAGTGTAATGTAGAACAATGTCATTAGCAAATTATAATATAATATTCTTATTCATATATTCTTTCTCTGCCCTGAAACTCAAAACCAATTATGATGGTTTTTATCACCTTGTTTAAGATGTTTAAGCCTACAAAAACAACAACGATTTCAAGGATAAAAGAACATGCAAGGTTTGGCTCATGTTTGGGGGAAACGTTCCTTATGCAAATCTTTGTGTAAAAAGAGGAAAAGTTATGCTTCATACTTAAGGTTTATTCAAATCCCTAACTATAAGTATTAGCAGTCGGGATGGTGCTCAAGAATCCCTAATAAATGCTCTAAAACAAGAATATAGCAACTAGACTATTAAAACTACACTGTAAAAAAATATTGTTGTTTTAACTTAAAAAAGTAAGTAACCTGGTTGCCTTAAAATTTTAAGTTGATTGAATTGGAAAAAGTGAGTTAATACAATGAAGGAGATTAATTTAATCATCAGAAACTCAAAATAATAAGTTATATCAACTAAATAAATTATTTAAGTTGATTTGACAAAAGAAAAAAATGTTGTGATAACAAATCTTGAAAATATTTTTTTTACAGTGTACTAAGCGCAACAACAAAATTTTTAGCAAAATTAAATAACACAAAGATGGATTTACAGAGAATCTAATACACAACGACTGGACCCTAAAGCACCCACGGTTAGGCCCCAGTCAGAAAAAAGGGATTAAAAGATTAAAAGACGCTCTTCTTAATCGCCTGTCCATGTGGAGAGAGGAACTGATGTCAGTCAGGCAAGACGCCAACATGTCCTTCAGTGCTGGCATCACTGGCCTTCTCATGCCCAACCATTGATGAGCAGACATTGAAACAATGCACACTTTTAAGTGTTGTTTGCAATATAGGAATTTGAAACTAATCCACTTTATAGGGTTGGAAATGTTGGAAATTACATTTTGCCAAAATTTTACTGGTATTGAAGATCATGATATGAAAATAATATTAATTAGGGGTGTGGCGATAATCATGATGTTTAAAAATGAGTTGTATATGATTATGGAACATAAATAAACCAATAAATAGGGTGCTCGAGTGTAATGTAAGTTTCATTCATAATCGGCGAAAGTGAGATTCACAGAAGTAATAAAACTTATGACTTTCCAGAAAATCCCTTATATGGACAAAGGCATCCAGATATTGCTGCAGCTGAATAACATGACCTCATTAAATACTAGATTCTACATCTTAAACATGTATATATTATCGATGCATTTTAAAAATTATTGCGACGTGGACGATTTTGCATTGATAGTCATAGACCATAATCGATTACAGCCAACTGACGTTTCTCTGATGTCATTCCCCATATCATTCCTTTTAATCTTGCTACTCGCATCTTGCTACTCGCAAGATTAAAAGGGCGGAGGCAGACGAAACACAAAAGCGAGTAATAAAAAAATGCACCCACTATTTTAAAATTTACAGCGTGTGAGCTTGAGTGTGTGCGTGCACCTGCGTCCAAGGTTGCGAGCATGTGCGTGCACGTATGTACGAGGCTGTATATGTGTGCATGCAAGTGTGCGCAGGTTAGTGCGATTGTGTTTGTGTGAGTGTGTTGTAAGCATTGCAACTTAAGTACAGTCGACAGTTTCATCCACTGTTAGTATTTATAGGGTTTGTTGTAAATAGGGATGCACGATATATCGGCCACGTTATCGGTATCGGCCGATATATGATCATTTTTAATGTTATCGTTATCGGCCCAACAAGAACATTTAGCCGATATCTAAAAGCCGATAAATAATGTATTATTTCCTTCTGCTGAGGCACTTTAGATGAGCACTGTTGAACATGATGCTTTTAAATTGCTTGAATTACGATTGAAATCACTTTAAAATATAGCTGCAAGCAGCAATACCGGGGCCAAGCGCAAAGACGACAAAAAGACAAGCCAACATGTGTCAGACCAACTGCAGCAAGACGCAATTGAAGACATTGAAAGATGAATTTAGACAAAATGGTTTAAAATACAAATACAGTAACTTATAAAATGATTCAATGGTTTATCACTTTCGAACAATAGGTGGCGCAGTTATGAAATCGATACCTTGTGTTCAGAGTGAAATGACAATGACACATACAAAGTTTGGTGTCAAAATGTGAAGGCATTGCAGAGATAAAGCCTAAACAGGCATTTTGGCAGCATGCCTCAAATTTGATGCTGTGGTATACAAAAACGGTTTTGTCTATCGTCACGCAATCCATAACTTTTATTCGGCACCGTCTGGAGATGATACGATTCAATTTTCGTGAGAATCGGACAAACGGTCTAGGAGGAGTTCGAAAAAGAAGGTTTTTCAAAGAAATAAAGATGGCGGACAGGAAGTTTAGCTGATTATACAAAACCTGATATCTATGTTTTTGGCATAACCCAAGGAATCTATTAAGATCAGTTTCATTGCAATAGGCAAATTTGTTCAAAAGTTATTAGCGTTCTCAGAAATTAATTATAACTTTTGACCAACAGGTGGCGCTGTCTCAAAATCTTTTGAGTACCTTCAGG